AAAAAAAAAAAAAAAAGAAAAAAAATTGAAAAAACCAAGAACGAGCAAAGTATAAATTTTTTTAACTAAATATCATTTATCAATATAAAAATAACAAAACATCTTCCAGAGATAATAAAATATTCAGCAAAAATTCGCAATTGCGTAAAATGATACAATACATTTATATCTATATACATATACATACATGTGCTTACAAATGATTAAAAAAAAACCTATCGCGATCCGTATGCCGTGTACCGTCACCAATACAAACACTTTTAACAAGTCCTCGCTTCGTCAGAGAGCAAGTTTAATCCGGTGTTCGTATTCAATCTCAGCCTGAGCTTGAGCGTTCGGGCGCGTTTCACCAGCAGCATCCGAATCCTCGTTGCCCTCCGAGACGATCCGGACCGCGGAGGAGGATTCGCGAGAGGATTCACGCGGAACGCTCGAGCTCGGGTCCCCGTTTCCGCTGGCTTGCCGTACCTGATGGCCACCCCGGGCTTCTCGGTCCTTATGAATCATACGCGGCGGTGCGGCGACGGCGCGGCCGACGTTTCACGGATCCGTGCCCGTCGGGCACTGGCGTGATATGGCGCGCACTGCAATTGATAACCGGCCGTGGGGAAGAGCTGCCGATATTACGCAGCATCCTCGCCGGAGGATCAGGCGCGTCTCATCGCCATGGTGCGGGGATGGGGATGACGGTGATGATGACGATGACGGTGATGTGCCGAGCCTCTCACGTCCGCGATGTTGACGACGATAACCTCATAACTGGGCTCGCCGACGATGGCGCCTCCTTCGATCCGAGGCACGTCGGCCCGCCGATTTGACGCACGGGGGACTTAATTAAAGTGTCTCCCTTCCGCTTCTCGCGCGCGAACGCGCTCTCTTCTTCTCTCTGCCTCTGTCCGTCCGTCTCTCTTTCTCCACCTCCTGGTCCGTTCTTTTCCCTCTTCCATCGGATCGGAGGATTTTTTTCTCCGCATGGTATATCCCTTATGGTGGCGTGTCCTCTCTCCTCCTCTACGATCGCACGAATGTCAGAACGATGGAATTTCAATTGGTTTTTTTCGACGTCGCGTGAAATAAAGCGCATGCAAATGTGAATAGTGTAACTATTATGAAACCGGGATGATTCGGGATGGATTCTAAATAAAAAATTGATTATTTCCTTGATTTCTCTTGTATCTTCGAAGAAAAATGGAATGATTCCAAACGAAATCCATTCATCCGAACAGCTTCATAAAAGTTTAGATACAATGAAAGAAATGAGAAATTAAAAATAAGAAATTGGGAATGGAAAATTAAATTTCGACACGTAGATATACAAGCGATAGACAGGCTTCAATAGACAAGGGAATATCAAGGTTTTATTATTGATCAAAGGAAATTCTCTGTTTCCTTATTTTTTATATTGAATTCCTTATTCGCTATTACCGTTTGCTGTCTGAATGTTGACGAATGCTTTGACATGCTTTGAAATTGAAATTATAAATTTCGCGCGCATGCAAAACATCATGAATCTCTAGATTTTAAATATATACATGGATGTTATTCTTACAGTCCATGGATATATTTAAAATACATTGTGATACATCGGATATATGGACGTCGCGTGTTGCTTAATAAATCCATATATTGGTCATTGATGACATGTAGTAGAGTCTACGCAATCACTAGAATAATGTTGAATTTATTTCTATATTTGATACTCATATTTAAACATCACGTAAATTGCAGAAATAAAATTATATATCGGAATATAAGTTTTATCAATTTTATTTCTGCGAAAACAATGGGAAAAAGTTCGCGCAATTCGTTTGTTAACGGACTTCCGATCAATTTTATGTTTCAGTAACTTCTAGTGACTTTTCCAAGTTCGAGTCTTCGTTTTTTTCGGTCAGTACATGGATCTAGTAATGTCCGTTTAGTTTTTAAAAACTGGATTTTCCTATTCTTGAATCTATGACCTTAATTAAAAATTTAGACTTCAATTAGTAATTGATTAATTCAGATTGTGAAAATGAGTTTAATTACAATTACGCTTATATATTAAACAATTACGATATTATTGATATAGTTGTAAAAATTTTTTAAATCAGATAATTTTGAAATCACATTTTAAAGTTAATACATTCGTGTCCCTAAAACGAATATTTTATATCATTAATACAAACATTAAATTTTATAGTCAATTTCATTTTAAAAATTAGATTTTTTTAAAAATAGGTATGCACTTTTAAGTTACTTTACACATAAATTGCTGACAAAATTAAAATTTTTAATTACGATATATATATTACAATCAAGCTTTACTCATTTTAACATCAACTCTTGTTTTATTCATATTAATCTATTATTTAAAGAAAAATTAATTATATTATTTATTAATAGAAACACATTTTAAAATATATGAACATA